AACCAACTGCAAGTAAGACAATCCAGAAACGAAAGGAAATCAAAGCAGGAAAGATAATTTACAATTTGAAGGTTCAACACAAATGCCATTGTTAAACACACAGTGACAGTCTTTTGCAGCAACAAAGCTTAAGTGCAGGACTTGTAGTTAAATAATTGTAGTGGCCACCTTTTCCAGAGTGCGATTTATCGTGGAGCTCCATAAGCAATTCTCAAGGACCTACAATCCACCTCCCAAAAGGAGCTACTCAGAATGTGCAAAAGGCATGCACACACCCCTCTGCCTTTCCTTGAGATGGCATATGGTAAAACAAGTCCCCTGAAACCTCTCAAGGGCCATTCATCTCCCAAGGACGAATGCGAATGTGCACGGATTTATCACATGAATTTTCATCATATAATCATTCAGCAGCTTGACGTGTGCAAAGCATTACACTTGAGACAACATGAGGTGACATGGAAGTTCTATCTGTGCCATTTGATCTGTTGTGGCTCCTTAGCACGTTGGAAGCCATCATTTGATGTCACAGTCATCAATGATGAACACACGTGTGTGAACCAGCTCACAGTTACCAATAATGGTCGAGGTATTGTATTTACAATGTCAAGTGGTTCTTTGAAATGCAGACTTTTGTGAGGACGCCCCTGTAACCACACCACCAAGCAGAGACCAAGCATGCAGGCAATTAGTAATTTAGGGAATTTGTTGAGAAATGGGTCCAATAACACTGTCAGGTCATTCCTTGATAATGAGCACATTACAAATACTCAGTTCTGCTGAATGTTAGAATTAACAGAATTTCTTGAATTCCGAACAAACTCTAAGCAAGACAAAACAAAAAGCAAGAAGTGAACACAAAACCACAGCCTGCCAGAAAATACCATTTTCTATGCCTTGTAGTGTGCATGTTGAAATGACACAGCTTTTGCAAAAAGCCAGATGATGCCTTAGAGACAGACTCTATCCAGCAAAGGTTACCTGGACTCAGGTGAGTTGTTGATATTGCCATCAAGCACTGATGACTGGACAGCCAAGTTGCATGATTACGATTGCATGATTACAACCAACTCGCTTAGTTTAAAAGTGTTAATTAACAGCTATAGGGCCTCTGACCAGGAATGGGACAATGGGGGTGGGGGACGGGCTATCTTCTATTCTTTTCTCACCAGTCATAATTGAAATGATTCTCCACACATACACCATGTCTGCTATTCATTGTTGAGATTTCCACGTGTACCAAGAGAAGCTTCTGCCCTAGACCTAATAGGAACTTAGGAAAGGGTGAGTTCATTGAAACTACAGTATACCGCGGTGAGGGGGCTAAAACCCACCATGCCCACGTTTCAACTTGGTTTAGGATTCACCAAAAATGATCTTGAAAATATATTTGTTAATTGCAGCTATTCAGTTAATGGCATATATAGTTTGGCTGGGAATCCCAGTGGCCATTCCTGTTTTCTGGAACGCCATGATGATAGAAGCTGGGTTTGCCCTCTCTCGGTGGCTCTTTTTGCATCAGGCTAAGACCATTTTCTCCTTTGGCATATAAAGGGGGTATAATTGATTTGAATATGGTTCCATCTTTCATTGTTGTGTTTCTGTGTTCTAAAATTGTCTGAATGATATGTTTAATCAATGTTTTATTCTTAATCCAATTTTTAAAAAAATACCTAAGTGGTTTTTATGGTTAAAGGGACAAACCAAATCAGTAGGAAACTGAGCCCCCCAGATATTTTATTGTGACTTGAGTCCATATTTCAGGTGCACTTCCATCATTCTGGGATCAGAGAAGAGAGAACTGACCTCATCTTTACAAGTCTCTCGCCAATTATATAAAAGGTACCCTGATTATTAGCATCTGAAGAGCAGTGAAAACAGTGAAGTAGGTTTCCAATGCCCTTGGCTGTACTTGGCTGTTGCTTCTTTGTTCCAACAAGAAGTGTAATTTGAGTCTCCCCTTCTACAGATTTCCTCTGGCACTTCACCACTGTGAGCAACCAATTGCTATTTGCCTGGATGAACTTTGGAAAAATGTTATCACATTTGTTCAGAGTCTGGAAAAGTTATGTTTTTGGACCACAACTTCCAGAATGGACCTACCAGCATGGCCGATGACAATAATACCTGGAATAGTTAGCATGGATGAGCTGGAAAAAAATAGTATTTCCAACTACTGCATTAGCGCTTTTTGATTCCATGATGTTCTACATAACATTTCCAGTGCTTATTTTCACTTTGCCTTTGTTTTCACTCACTTACATTATAACAGGAACATTCAAAACAAGAACAGATATATTCAACTGGTATAGAGAAGAGGAAAAATGTTAACTGGGCCATAGTTTCTTTGCATACTCAATTCGTTTAGCAGTTCTAAATACTTAAAAGTGGTGATTTTTTTTAAATCGGGAGAGATGAAATTGGTAAGGAAACAGATAGCCAAGCAAAATGGTGATTGTTTTGAAAATACCACATTTAGAACAACTTCTCAGAGTACAGTATTAGGATTTTGTTTCTCATTCCAATGTGACTTAAACAGGGCCTTTTGTTTTCTAAGAAGTTGGAAGCCTATGGTTCTTTAGATGTTCTAGTTGACACTTCCCATCATCTTCATTGACCATACCGGGGGTGGGGGAGAGGAAGAGACACACAGATTCCTCCCCATCCCTACTGTAAACCCTGGGCCAAAGTAGACAGACTGTTTGGGAAGTGGAGACTCACTGGAAGCCTCTTGCCGTGAGGGAGAAGCTTGGCAGAGAAAGAGAACAAATGGCACATATCCCAGAGCCCTTCCTCACTCCTTAGGAAATGTTTCTTCTGATAAATTCTTCATAGTATTTGCTTTAGGTGAGCATCTGCCAAGACCACCACCTCTCTTATGTCACCCAGAGGTATGAACTCAGCATTTAATGCTGTGAAGGCATCTTTGAGTTCATTTGGAGTTAGGCCTTCTATTTTTGAAGCATTGACGGGGGATCTGCAGCCCTCTGGATTTCTTGGTTTACAATGTCTGTCTTTCCTGATCATTAGCAAGGCTGGCTTCAACTGATGGAACCTTTGGAGAATGGTAGCTTCTCCCATCCCCATGTTTAGCAGCACACAGATAACTATAGTGATGAGCAAGTAAATGGCCTGTGACTAGTTTCGGTTCTGCATGAGACCCCTTCCATGCAAGCTCTTCCAATTGCTTAGAAGAGGCCTGGGCCACTTCATACGGCGAGACAACCCCCCACAGTAAATGGCCTGTGACTAGTTTCGGTTCTGCATGAGACCCCTTCCATGCAAGCTCTTCCAATTGCTTAGAAGAGGCCTGGGCCATTTCATACGGTGGGACAACCCTCAACACCACCATTTTGGGGGAAGATGGGTAAAAAATATTTTAATGCAAAAAATGGCCTGTAGAAATGTTTTTGACGATTCCTTGACATTTACTAAATGCATGATATAGCTTTACCCCACTCATCACCCCTAGTGAAGAACATTGCTTGCTGAAGAATTAGCACTATTCATTGTAGAAGTAAGTTGGCTGCATTACCCATTATTAGGATGTGCATTGGACTCCTAATCCAGTCCCTGTCTGAATAAGGGTGTAGTTTGCGACCTTTTGGGGACATTGCTTCAAAAAAGCAAAAAGCAAGGCCAATAACAAATGGTGCAACCGCATCAGGACCTAGAGGGTTTTTGTTTGGTTGGTTGGTTTGGAGGGGGGGATTCTTTAGGTGCACATAGGACACAAGGGCTTCTGGCCATGGCAGTCTGCAGAGCTTGGTGTTCAGTTTTATTTATTCCCCCCCTCCTTTTTTTCTAGCTGGCAGGAGAAAACCTTGCTCTTGCCAGTGAGCAGACCAGCTTTCTAAGCCAGCCACAGGGATGAGAGTAAGGAAGGAGCTTGAAAAGTCCAATGGGCATTGTCCTGCTTGAGTCCTTCTTAACAGAGCAATGCAAGGAGTCTGTGTTTCCTACACACCGTCTCAAATTTTACCTCACCAGAGCAATGCAAGGAGTCTGTGTTTCCTTCACACCGTCTCAAATTTTACCTCACCTTCTTCCCTCTTCAGCCCTTTCTTCTGCTATCCATCAGCATAGCGGATACGTATTTTCAAGGGGGGGGGGAAATAGATTTCTGCTGAAAAAGAAAGGTGAAGGAAACCTTCTATAACTTTCTGCACTGTCTCTTTCACCTTTCCCTCTTCCTCCTTTTCTCTGTATTTAAAATTATTGGGGCTGCAGGCTGCTCCTCCTATGGTTCTGTGTTGCTAGGGTGCAGGATGTTGATCAATGCAGAAATACCTCTCTCGACAGAGTTTGTGGCAGGAAAGGCAAGGAAGATTCCCTTCTAGGGTGAAGCGTGTGCAGTACTCTCTTTCTACAGCAGTGCCAATTCAACCTCTCCCTTAGCTTCTTGTCTCCTTTCCCAGCTTGTAATTCTGCCATTGTAAAAATTCAAATATTTGTAACCGCACACATGGCAGTTTTAACATGAGAGATTGGGTGGGGGGAACGATATTTTGCTCTGTGAGTGCCTCCGAACTCCTTAGTCTTTTCCTTGGTCGACTTAGAAATGCAAAAATATTCCCGATTCAGTCTGTTTTTACTCATATGTCCAAAACAGCCTATCCATTACATTGTCCATTAGGTGACAGGATAGCTCCTCTCTTGTGTATGGAAGATGGCCCGAGTCATGCCTGTTATTTTCTACTTTTTACTGTAAAACAAGGATATCCTTAAGATGTCCTGAGCAGTGCAGCATCTATCTGCTGCTTCTCCACCTGAGCATTGAAAAAGCTCTTTAATCACTCCAGGAAAAATGCAGGAAGCCTCCCATACTTCTTGCAAAAGCTACAGGTATAGTAACAATGATTTTTGTCAGAAAAGCAGCCGGGGAACTGTTTCGGTCTGCATGATGTGGAACCTTTGTTTTCCATTTAAAAGCAGGGGAAAAAACACCCACTTGCACTTTGTATCCATAAATGAGCACAAACAAATAATGAGTGGCCAGAATATTATTGATGTTCGTAATTGTGTATGGTTTATATAACTTGCAACAGTTTAATGTCAAGGTCCCAGGGAATATTTTAGTCACACAATCAGGCATGTGACTGGACCTGCAGCTAAGATATGCTTTGGCACCTCATCACACAAATAGCCATGAAAAGTTTGCACACCTTACATAAACTGAAACAGGCCAGTATCAGTTGTGCCTGAAGCTTAACAGTATTGTTACTCAAAAAACAAATTAGTGATGGGCAAAGCCTCATGGTGCAGTCGTTAAACTGCAGTACTGCAGACCAGACTCTACTCACAACCTGATTTTGATCCCAGCGGACTCATGTAGCCAACCAGCTCAAGGACAATTCAGCCTTCCATCATTCCGAGGTGAGTAAACTGAGTGCCCAGCTCATGGGGGGGGGGCAATGTGTAAACTGCATAATTAAATTTTAAACTGTCCAGAGGGTGCTTTAAGTGCTTGCTATGGGGCAGTAAATACACAGCACACGTTGCTTTTAGTTCTAAAAAGTTATTTCTAAATTCTAATTTTTAGCTTCTAAAATCAAATTGAGCCAAAGGTCATGCCCGCTAAATGTTTGTGGTCCTAAAAACTGAAATCATAGAATTTGGGGAAGTAATTGAAATGGAAAATCTGGGAAATGAAACCTTACCAAGACACAAATTCCAACTGGTTGATACTTCATATTCTGTTCAAGTAATATGATTTTGCACCATAATTTAAGGAAGAGGTTGGTTAATGTGACAGAATTACTACAGAAGAAGACAACATGAAAACAAAAGCCAAAGGGAAAGCCAACTGTGCCAAAGGTCTCAGATGTTTTGCTAATTAAAAGGTGTGTTAATTGTACACTGATGATAATGGGAATGCTGGCCTGCACGACCATGACATATCTTTTACCTCTGGAATATCCTGAGGGGAAAATGTTATGGCTCCATTTTAAATAGATCTACCTAACTAGTCACTCTTTAAATTTTATAAAAGTACTCCTGCCCAATCAAAAACCCGTGTCTTCTCCAAGTAATCTAATAGTTACCAGTAAGGGCACCAGCGAGTGTTGTCTTTGGGAAAGCACAATGAACACAGCACTTTCCTTGCTAGTGGAAATGAATTGTTATCTGATTTACTGAAGAATCCTGCAGCAGGACATGGCTTGCATGTTGGGTTCCCTGGACAACCCAAAACTCTGCAAGCCAAACAAGCCTATCCAAAGGGGCAGGGGATGAGCTCCTGGAAGCAATCAGTGAAAGAGTGGTACAACTGGTGATGGGTGGGGTAAGCATAAGAGACGTGGTTTATTTCCTTTAGTGTGACTTTCTGTTGATTCAAGATGAGCACCAAAATAAGAACTATCCTGAAGAACAGAAAGCGAGTGAAAGAGTGAGTGACGTGGTTACTGGAAACAGAATCTTGACAGCCAGGCTGGGTTTGGAATGAGTGCCAAAAGAAGCCAGTGTTTTGAATTTTAGCCCACGGGTTAACTTAGTGACAAAGGGTGGATCAGTGGTGTTTCTGTTGCATCTACTCTGGTGAGTAGTCTAACTCATCATTTGAAATCAGCGCATCCGAGTTCTGTTTGTGTTTGCCTTTGCTTTTGGATTTGCCACTTGTCCGACTGCTTTCCTTTGTTTCTGACATCTGCTGGTAAGAAAAACCTTTGTCATCGGCATGATCCCAGTCCTGGTAGTTTTCACTCTCAGCATAGGTGAAGCCATCTTCAACTGAGAAGGGATCAACGTCAACATCATAGCGTTGGTATGTGCTCTGATGCAGGGCTTCTTCCCGAGCAGTGATCTCCAGTGTGCTGTTCCATATGCCATAGCCAAAATAAATCAGCAACCCTACAGGAAACAGGAGAATTCAGCTGGTAACATCTCTTACTGCACTAAGACTTAAAGTTGCATTCTATGCAATTCAACACAAAACGGTTCAGGTCTCAACAGGTGTATTACAGGAGTTGAGTAGAACATTATCGATAATCCACATGTGGAATGTGCAGGTCACAGAGTAGTTCTAAAATCATCCTGATTATCTTGTTCTTGTACCATCATCCCCTGAAAGCTCTTTTTCTAAAATATTGTTTATTTACTAGACTTTTGAACTGCAAAGAAAGGAAGAGAAGGAAAAATCCAAAAGAATTACAATGTGCAGTGTACTTTCACTGTTCCTTAGTTTTGCATCTGTAGGCTTTTCACTGGCACACTGCCCAGGCAGGATTTAATAACAAAAAATACATCTCATTACTATGGGGGGAAAAAGAAAACAAGCACAGAAAATAAGACAGTGAGGCAAATTTACATAAATTCTTATGCCCTTTGATTCCTTTCTTTCCAGGACAATACTGAACCTGGATTTGAAAATAAGACGAGGATAGCAAGCAGAGTAGTAGTGAGGGATCGCATGTAGCTCTAAGGAAACTGCTTAAAATAAACAGCTACATCCAATTGTCCATTCTGACTAGAATAGACCCACTGAATTAATGGAACTGACATAACTGTAAAACTTAATAAGCCCCATTCATTCAGTGGGTCTTCTCCAACTATGACTCACAACTAGATTTAGCTCTAAACATGTGTTTATATTCAACTATGTTGTTGTCTAGGGTTTCATGGAGGTCTCCCTTCCACAGTAAGTGCTCTAACGTCCTTTAGCTGTTCTCCTACTGCTTCGAAATCTTCACACTGCATATTTAGGACTTACCCACAAAACACCAGACAGCAAACCGGATCCAGGTGATCTTTGAGAGTTTCAACATGAGATAGATGTTCACAAGCATAGCAAAGGCTGGGACAAAAGGCAAGCAAGGCGCCATATAAGGGAGCTTTTTGGGGTTCTCTGGCTGTTGAAGAATGACAAATACCAATACGACAATCAGTAGGATCATCAAGACCACGAGAAGAATGGCCCACCAGCTGTGGTCGTAAAGATAGTCCATGCCAAAAATAATGAAAGAGCAAAAGATGAACATAAGGACAAACAGCAGGAGGACACAGGTGGTGACAGTCTGGCCTGTAGCTGCAGTAGGGCGGTCCATTTTCCCAGGCAGTCCTAAATGGATTCTCATAGTGTAGTATCGTGGGCCTATAAGTTTCTTCAGCTTTATGAGGTAAATGTTTTCAGACTCCTCTGCCTCTATTCCTGAAGTCATGTCAACTGTACCGTAGTTGGGGTGGTTGACATTGTAGGTCGCTTTATCTGATTTGCCAATGAGCATCTCGTTGTCACCCAAAGATGGAAGGTTTTTTGCCCCACATGTGTTGGTGGGCGGGCCTGCAAACTCTTCCCCTTCACTCACTGGAGAACAAGCTTCCTTCTCACAGTCGGCCAAAATCCCTTCCTTCTTCTTAGTATGCTCTTCAGAGAGAAATTTGACAAAGCCATCAATGTCACTTTCTGGCTGATACCGGAGAAGCAAGACACACACAGAGACCAAAGTGTACGCTAGCAGAGTGCCGATGGACATCATTTCTATCAGGTCCCTCAGGCTCACCAGCAAGGAGAGTAGCGCTGCAAGAAATCCCGACACAATGCAAGCCACCACAGGAGTCTCGGTATAAGAACTTACGTGGGATAAGAATCTAGAGGAGAAACAATGAAAATTACACGTAGCTATACATTTTCATGGGATGCTAATCTAACTCCACAGTTGTGTGGAGTATAACATAATTCAAACAGGAAACCCTGAAGTCTCACTGCGGAAGAAAAATCACAGTTGGACCCCACCCCCCAAACTTCAAAAAGAACAATTGGGACGGGGAGCAAATGTCCCTTCCCTGTACTACTCTGTCCCACTGAAGTCCTTTCCTTTGCTCTATGTCAGTGGTTCCCAACCTTAGGTCCTCAGATGTTCTTGGACCACAGCTCCCGGAAGCCTTCACCACTAGCTTTGCTGACCAGGTTTTCTGGGAGCTGTAGTTCAAGAACATCTGGGGACCCAAGGTTGGGAACTACTGCTCTATGTGACAGAGGAAAGGAGCTGAAACAGATTTTTTTTCCTGACAAGGAAATGCAATCCCAGTTCCCAACTAGATAGGTAATTGGGGCACCTATATATAATTGTTGCTTAGAGTAGCTTTTGAGGGAAGTTTGGGTGAAATTCTTCCCTTCCCTTCCCCAGCTCATAAGCCTTTCAACGTTCATAAAAGAGTCAAAGATCTGTGTTCCTACACTGAAGAGCAACTCTCCTTACTAAACCATAATTAACTTTTGTATGTTCTTGTAGAAGTAGGCAATTGACATTTGACCATGGTATTATAAATCATATTTATGATGTCTTGGGAAACTCTGTCTTATAATCTATAATTAACTCTGGTTAATTATGGATTATAAACTAGGATCAAATCCTGGTTTAGTACCCTGGTGAGTTAAATGACATTGAATCATAGTTTACCAGTTTACATGCAGTGGCAGCTATGGACTAATGCAAACCAGAATTATTGCACCAAAACTGTATAGACAGTTGGAGGAGATGGGGTGTGGAAGAGTGTGGAACCATGACATTTGTCTAAGACTTCATAAAGCATTATCCGAGGCCATGGATGGTCACTTACGTGTGCCAAATATGAGAAGAAAAGAAGACACAGATCTGCATAAAATTTGTATGTGCTCATTTTTATGTACAAATGCAAATAAAGAACTAATTACTGCAATTCGTATTTAGGATTACATTTCACCTCAGTTGGAAAAAATGGGACTACATGACTTATTTACCAGTTCAAACACAATACTGAAATTGTTTCCTATTTCTATTGTCTTACCTGGATAAAACCCCTAAGCAAAGCTCAATTGTTTTGCTAATGAAGCACCTGAAGTGTTTGCTTCTGCACCATTAATTAAACTTTTAATTATGCCAAACTGCACATTGTCTTATCTTGAAGATAAGAATTTCACAACTCTGGCAAAATGTACAATAAGCTTAATTTGGGATGCAGTGACATAATAGACATCAGGTTCTTATTCAACCAAATGGCTGATCAATGCTTCAGAGTTATGCATAAATACTGAGCAGATAATAAAGAAAAAAAATTCATAACCAGGAATTATGAAATAATTTTAGCAATGATAGAGTCCTGCAGGATTCAAAAGCTAGCTCATTAATGGTCTAATCAATGTATCAGCCATTCTGAATTCTGGTTTTTGCACAAGGACGGCACAAATCCCCTCTTTTTTGTTGGGCTACCATAATCTTCCAGCCAGGGCAGTATCTGCAGCCAGGGCAGTATCTGCAGCTAGAATCAGATCTAGTACAGCTCAGGAAGGACTGCACTAAACTGAGGACAAAGCTTCCTCTAGTTAGTTAATTTATCTGCAGTTGACTCTCTCTTTGCCTAATGTGCAAACTAAATTTAATGTTCAACTTTTCTGATATGGGGATTGCTGTTTTTCTGGATGTCTCTTTTCCCACCAAAAGGGAACACACATACTTCAATATAAAGTGATGGGGAAGGCAGACATTTGCCTATGCAGACGGGGACAGATAATAGAATCTACATCTCCTGAGGTGAAACCTGATACTCAAGCTGTTTCTACCTGATTGCAACCTCCATTTTAGAACCTAAGTTAAATCATGAAATGTTGGCCTCAACATCTGGGCACAATACATCTTCTGTCCTCCATACCACCTTCAAGTTCTGCAATGACCAGCTTAATAAAGATTCAGTCCTATAGGACTTGAAAGCTAGGCTATGTATGAAACTTTAGCAGCCTGATAAAAATATCACCCCCTTTTTCTTAGGGATTTTGCACAAAGAACCACACAGCATTTTGTTGTTGAATTTTATCTAAACGATGTGCATATTGATGGACAATGTCAAGGCCAATCCCTGCTTTCCTTCTGGACAGTTCTTTACCTACCTACTCACCTACTTCTAACCTGCCCTATATCAACCAATCTCAAAGCAGAGTATCCATTTCATTAAAAGAGGTAACACAATTTGAATGCGTTAAAACATTTAAAGGATGTTAAATACTTTAAGACACAGAAACAATTAATCATTGAGTAAAAAACAGCAAATTATCTTTAAGCCACACTTTGGATGGATGATACATTTAATAGAAGATGCTTCAAGATAAGATCTTTTCTCCTTTGGCCTTTAATACAGAGGTGCCTTGCTTAATAACGATAATCTGTTCCAGGAAAATTGCTGTTAAGCGAAAACATTGTAAAACGAAATTAAAAACCCCATTGAAACGCATTGAAACCCATTCAATGCGTTCAAATGGGGTAAAAACTCACTATCCATGCGAAGCAGGGAAAAGATCTTCGCAAAGCGAAAAAACCCTATTTAGACCATTGTAATTGTGATCACAAAAAGATCGTAGTACAGCGATTTTGTTGTAATGCGGGGCAATCGTTAAGTGAGGCACCACTGTATAAGCCTCCCTATGCTGATACCAACGTTCCTGCAAAAATGTATTAAAACTGATCTGGAAGGCCTTTTCAACTGACAGCAACAAGGACAGCAACAACACATTGGTCAGGTCTTTCAGTGCCTTTTCTCTACTTCTAGTTATATGGCATTTACCTGAAGAGAAGCCCGTCTCCAGCCATAGCGTAAATAACACGGGGCATGGGAAAAAGGGAGCCCAGCAAGCTCACGGTCAAACCGGCGACAGATCCAATGGCAACGATGAATTTAGCAGCATAGAATCCATGAGCTGCAAACATTTCCATCAGGGGTGATTCAGTATCAATGTCATTGTACGGCACCATCAGAGTTAAAATAATGCTCACCTGTTACAAAAGGGGGCAGGAAAGCAACATAATAGTTAGAAGTAACATAGTACTTGCTTTGCAACGCTGAGGGCTTGTTAATGTGCTTGTCTTTGAGAAGTTCAAAAGACCCCAGAAAAAGCATCTTCTGGGATGTAGCTTTGGAGGAGATAGCTGTGTTAATCTAAGCATATCAGGCAAAATTCAAAGAAACAAAACAAATCATGTGGCATCAGGCAAAATTCAAAGAAACAAAACAAGCTAAATCATGTGGTGCCTTAAGAGACTTATTATATTTTAATGTAAACCTATGTGGACCATTCAGAGACTTATTATATTTTAATGTAAACCTACATGGACCATTCCACTTGATCAGACATATAGAAACAGAATGAAATGTTGAATGAAATATCCATTTCACAAGGAGAACATTCTAAATATTCATTGGCTCTTCGGGGTATGGTATGGTATGGTATGGTATGGTATGGTATGGTATGGTATGGTATGGTATGGTATGGTATGGTATGGTATGGTATGGTATGGTATGGTATGGTATGGTATGGTATGGTATGGTATGGTATGGTATGGTATGGTATGGTATGGTATGGTATGGTATGGTATGGTATGGTATGGTATGGTATGGTATGGTATGGTATGGTATGGTATGGTATGGTATGGTATGGTATGGTATGGTATGGTATATTTATTTATTTATTTATAATACCCCGCCCAGCTAGACCAAAGTCTACTCTGGACGGCTAACAATACTAGATAGAATAAAAACATATAAGAAAATAAAAACAACAACAGTAATAATATGGTTCAGGATGGGAAAAAAGTATTCAAGTGATGATGGGAGGGAAGGCCTGCCTAAAGAGCCAGGTCTTAAGTTTGCTCTTAAAAACACCCAGCGAGGGAGCCCGACTCTGGGGGCAGACTATTCCAAAGGCGAGGGGCCACTGCCAAGGAGGCCCGGTTTCTTGTTCTTTCTCTCTGGGCCTCCCTCGACATTAGGCCCCTCAGCCGCCCTTCCTGGGTAGAACGAGTGATTCGGGTACATCTAGGTGGGAGGAGGCTTTCTGCTAGATATCGAGGTCTTAAACCATTTAGGGCTTTATATGTCATCATTAACACTTTGAAATCAATGCAGAAATGAATGGGCAGTCAATGCAAGGCAGCCAGAGTGTAGGAAATATGCTGATATTTTCTATGGTACATTGTTATTGACATTTAAGGTAGACACACTTAGGCCCACATGACTTGGTAGAAGGCAACACCTCATGTATCTAATACCTGTTTCCAAAATGAAAAGCAAGTAAAATACTGGTGTCCCGGCCTATACAAACTTCTTTGTGAGTAAGCTCGTTTAATTTACTGGGGTTTATTCACTTCTGAATTGACATGCATAGAAGTGAAGCATAGGGCACTTCAGAAAAAGGCAGGGGTGGGCTGTGACATTTCAGATTTATTTTTTTTACAGGAATTTCCATAATTCATCATCACTGACTATGCTAGACAGGGTTAATTGGATTTGTAGGCAAAATCCAAACAAAGAAAAATGGAGGGCTAAGTTGGTATAATGAGGCATGCATTTTTAAAATAGAAACTCTAATTATGTACACTTTCAGATAAAAACAGTGTGGCTTTTGTCCCCCTCCCCTCCAAAGTGAAACAAAGGAAACCTATACAAACTTATTTGGAGTAAGCCCATTTAATTGATTCACTTCTGAATTAACATGCATGGAAGTGAAACAAAGGAAAACTAAAAAATGAAATAGCTATAGGCTGCCTCCTCAATTCCTTTGACTGAATCAAGTGCTCTCTGGTCATTGGCTTAGCTGCTGAGAATTGTGGAATGTTTATGAATATTCCAATAGTTCAGATTAAAAAAAAAAACAATGAGGAGAGAGATGGGGTTGTTGGAGGGGAGTGCAGAGAACCAAACAAGCAGTAGTGTCACAACAGTGGCTAACTGTTAGGACTTATGTATGAATGTTTGTGCGTAGGAGTAGTATGTGAATGGGGGTTGTGAACTGTGTGTGAATAATACTGAGGCTGTGTATGTAAGGTGGGGAGTGGAGAAGAATCTGAGTGAATAACAGACACAGAGAAGACATTACAAATAGCAAGCTCACCTCAGTTTGTCAACCATTTTGCTGCCTGAAATGATGATATCTTCACCCCAGTCAAGATATTTGTACAGTACCCAAAACGGTTCTAGTTATTTTGGCATCTGAGGCAGAAAATCCCACCAACCACCTTTTTAAATCCTTTTTAGTCAAAATTCAACAAGAATAAATTAAATAACCAACAGATTGCTGCCGTTTCATGGCACCCAAACTCCATTATGCTGATAACAAATGAGATTAAGGCCACAAACAGATATTAGAGATAGCGTGCTGACAGTATGTTTATGTTGCAGGTTGCTGACTGAGAGAGTCTTTCCGTGCTTGAGAAATCAATTTTCAAAGGAACCCTATGCTATTCTGCATATTTCTGGAGGCGAGAGGAGTTCAGATGCTCACATTAGTTAAGAATCTCCCTGTTCCAGTCACGGGCTATCTCTAACATCTATTTCTAGCCTCAAGTACCAGGGATGTTGGCAAGTCTCTGAGTCTCAGTCCAAGTCTTTGATAGCCCCCTAGAGTGGTCTGGTAGTCCAGATAGGCGGGGTAGAAATCAGATAGATAGATAGATAGATAGATAGATAGATAGATAGATAGATAGATAGATAGATAGATAGATAGATAGATAGATAGATAGATAGATAGATAGATAGATAGATAGATAGATAGATAGATAGATAGCAAGTCCTGAGCCCCAAGCCCCTATTAAAATACCATTTTTTCCCAGAAAAAAAATGGAGAAGTGGGTGGGTTCTGGGTTACAAATTGAGTCCAAGTCATGGGGGGGGGGGAAGAGCCGAGTCCAAGTCAAGTCACGCGTGCAACTTAAGTCCAACTTGACAAGAAGTCCCATGACTCAAGTCCCTATCTCTGTCAAGTACCTCATGAACCTACAGTCTAGGAATCAGCCATTCTATAACATCTACCAACTATACAGAAAAATGTCTATAAGTAACTTAACAATTCCACTATCTATCTTGTGTGTTCAGGCTTAAGCCCTGTGCTGCCATGCTGACCTGTAATCTGAACATAGGTTTTAATGTATTACAAACAGCCTCTTAGTCATGGGGTCTGGTTATACCAAATGTCCTTCTGCCTTTCTCTCCCAGAACAGGGATGAACTGAAATTGTTCTCAGCAGACTGCAATATATACTCCTTCTGCATATGTTTCTTTTCTGGCAGATTATGTGCAAATGATTGTGTGTGAAGGAACTGATTAGAATTCTCCCTTATGTTGTTGTTGTTGCTCTTGATGCTATTGTTTTGACTTAAACCCATAGTACTGACACACTCTCTGTTTGGCTCACAACATAATTATATAAACATCACTTTGCCCCCAGCAAATTGGGGAACTCACTTTACTGACCTTGAAAGGATGAAAGGCTGAGGAGCCAACCTTGAGCCAACTACCTAAACCCGTCAGGTTGTGAGCAGAGCCTTGACTGCAATACTGCGGTTTATCCACTGAGCCATGGGACTTATGTGGACGAACCAGAGATTGCAAAGATCCTTTTTGAATTACATCTCCCAGAATATCCCAGCCAGCATGTCTAGTCTTTGAGAGTGACTGTGGCTGAACCGAAGGCTGGCAGCTATGTTGGCCACAAGCGGTATGTCTTTCCTCTATCCGATGAATACCTATGATATCTTTTTTTAAAAGGAAATGTGTTGCTTGCTACACATACTGACCGAGTTGGTATATAATCAGGTTTTTCCAAATCCTCTTTGATATAAAAGGCATTTTAGGCACTTCGCATATGCTAGCTAATAATCTGCATGATGACCCTGTGTCAGGGTTACTCTCCTCCTAATGCAGGGCATGAGGTGAGAAGGGAACGGAGAGATACAATAGATTTGAACTGAGAATGTGCTGAATACCTCCCACACCCTCTACCACTACATTAAACCTTCCTCTAAAATGAATATGATACCATGCATGAGAATGAGTGTAGTGCAATGCCCAGAAGCCACATTATAACTCAGGAGATCTGGGTTCAAATCCATTGAATATGGAAATTAACTGGTGGGTGGCACTGGTGAAACTGCTCCTTACGTATCTCACATACATCGGAAGCCCTGCTACAGTGTCTGTAACTAGATGGCACAAACACATAGATTTAAAATGTGTGACTTACAGACACATAGGCTGTCAGGCATGTGACCAGTGAAGCCGTGATGGCGTAAGGTATGGACGTGTTGGGGCTCTTTGCTTCTTCTCCAGTGGTAGCAATGATGTCAAATCCAATGAAGGCATAGAAACAGGTGGCTGCGCCTTGTAGCACCTGAAAGAAATTTAAAAGAATATGGTATTATCTAGCAATAGCAAGTAATATAATGAGTAGTTGCAAATTGCTTTTTAAGTGTAACATGACATGATACCTCAGTTATTTAGGTGTAATAATTAGCAGCTAGAAACTCCCAAGCGTTACCTTTTAAAGAGTCAATTTTAGAGTCTTTTAGGTAGGAATTTCCTGGGTTTATGTTATCCTCTTATCAATTCTGAGTGGCCAAGGAAGTACTTTGTCTTTTGTATTTTTAGAAATATAGTCAAGGTATAATATTAGAATTGAGGCTCCAATACTTTGACCATCCCATGAGAAGAGAAGACTCCCTGGAAAAGACCCTGATGTTGGGAAAGTGTGAAGGCAAGATTTGTCAAACATGAAAGTCTGCCTGAATAATCTCTCCCCAACAAAAACATGCTTTTAGCTCTTTCAGCATCTACGAATGATTTAGTACCAGGTTTCCCATGAACAACTCTTTCCGCCTTGACCGATACCAACATCACTATTGATCAAGAAGGTACTTCAGACCTGTGAGCTCTGCTATTTTCTGCTTGTAGAGGAGAAGAGGGATTACCCCCAGTTTGTAAACTTAATTCAGCTGACAGAGGGCCCAAATCCTGACTCCTGGAGGTTGCCTGTTGATCCTTCCCAAATCCAATCTCTGAAGCCCCTGCCAGTAAACTTTGAATCTCTTCTGTTACTTTCAGCTAGTGGCTGAAGATAGCAAACATTTTGCTGGACTTTTCAGGAGGCTGGCTGAAAATACTTTGGTCTTCATCCTCCTCCTTCAGCTTCTCCTTCTATGTAGATGGGAGAATCTAAAGCTTGCAAAAATTTATTATTCATAATGCCCCAGTCAGATGGCTACCTTAATATCGGAGTTCCAATGCAAAAAAAGTAATTTTTCCAAAGTTTAGGGGAATCAATTTCACTCCTTATTGCACCTGAATGGTTTACTTCTCAATATCTTTTCATCCTATTTAGGCAGCAGGGTTGGGGGGGTGGAAGAAAAATAATGTAAATACCAAAAAGCCCCCAAACTAACTGAAACTCTCATCAATTGCTGAGGGAAGGAGCAGCACAAGAAGTTGTTTCTTCTTTGCAACAAAACTGAAAAATCAAATTCGAAAGGAACTGAATCACTCCTTACACTCTACAGAATGCTATTTGCATCTCTTTGCTTTTCTGTCACCAAGCCAATTTTAAAAGAAAAAAACAACAACAACCCAGCCTCTTGGGGTTATTGAGAGTCTTTTCTACACTGCCGTATTTTCCAGAGCTAACCCGCAAGAGATGAGCAGCACAAATCCAACCAAACATTGTGGATATTAATGTCTCTCTGCCCGTCCTTGGATAAAAACTGGTTTCTCTTTATACAGCAGGAAATCCAAGTCTGTTCAAAATCCCAGTTGAGCTTTTCAGCTAGAATATATAAAATAAACACTATGTTGGCAGCATTAGGAAGAGTACAAAGCAAGCAGTTTAAGGCCGTGCTCTTTCCTGACAAACAGCCAAGCCATGTATCTGTGCATTCTCTGCTTGCTTGTGACCCACTTCAGAAGAGAATTGCTACTGGAGCTTTAGTAACCTTGCTTTAAAGGCTTGCTGAGTGCATTTTGAAAAATTAAACCTCACCATCATCTTACAGAACCATGTTTACTTTGCAGAGCTTGGAAAATTTACATTTGGACTACAGTTCTCTGAATCCCCTTGCCAGCCAGCTTGGCTGAGGATTTCTGGGGGCTTCTGAGAGTCTTAAATCTAAAATGTAATTTTCTGAAGCTCTAGAGCACATGAAGCATATTCATCTGAAAAAGAGGCACAGGCAGCTCCCAGGAACTTCATTTCAGCGATGAAATTTAAACATGCTAAAATCTCTTCTGCTGGAATCGTTGGGACCCACTGCAACTGTGATCCTGCGGTCCCTTAATCTAGAAATAAGCCTCTCCAAATGTAACAGTGTTTACGTCTGAGTGGGCATGCAGGGGGTTACACTGTTTGAGAGTTTATACTAGCGCATATCATAGTACGTACATGTTTATTTTTATGTACAATGTGCTCCTTTCTCCAAACAGAATAAAACTCTGGGTCAAGGTCATTTAGAGCAGAAAGAATGTTCTCTCTTTGTTTAAAAAAACTCTTTTGTTGCTGAAGGAGAACAATAAGTAGCCGGGAACAAGAAGAACTTGGGTAGCGCTTATTCAGGTCACAACTACACGAGATAGTGAGAGATCTGTGTTTCAATCTCATGCATTAAAATGCACACGCTTGAAAATACAGCAGCAAATTGAGAAGGGAAAGCCTTGTAGTGGGTCACGGCCATGGGGCTGGAGGGTCTTTGCACCCTTTGCGCTATTATCTCAACCTAAATTACCTAAATTATCTAAATTACCTCCATCTTTCCAGATACTCTATTACTCCCATGCGGGAACATACAGGCACTGTAAAAACCCACCCGTCCTAGAGTTTGGGGGATGGATGGAGGAGAAAATTGTTCCTTTCTGAAGTACAGTACTGCATATCCTGACCCATACATTTCCCCCCACATTCTGGTATTATATTTAGGAAGATTCAAATGAAAATAACAACAACACTGGTTTGAACTAACTGCTCACATTTTGAAATAAGGGGAAGTGTAGTGCCCAAGGACTAGTCTTTTGTACATGAAAAACTTGCAAGACGAAAGTCTTTTGTGATTTTTTTGGTGACTTGCAAGATGAATTTTTCTATGGCCGTGATTCGCAAGATGATTCCCCCCCCTTTTTTGGTTGGTTTGTTTTAAATTGCACAACCGTTAGTACCGCGCTTCGCAAGACGAAATTTTTGCAATACGACATGACTCGCGGAACAAATTAATTTCATCATGCAAGACATCATTGTATTTTGAAAGTAGAGTTGCCATATTATCCACCTGGGCAGTTTTAAAAAAGATTTTAAGATTGGCTTGTATTCCAGGATGTCATTAAAATAAAAGTTCCCAGTTCTTGTAGAGCAGGAGACAGAGAACAGACCAGTTAGTTACTGTTTTGGCGGAATGTTTTCTGAGAAACAAGCCATTCAGGAAGAATACCCAGACAGTTTTAAAGGTTCTTGCAAATGTCTAGTAAAGACAAATGCTCTCCCAACAGATGGTAAATGTAGCAACTGTGAAAGCCTCATGGCAGAGTGGTTAAATTGCAGTACTGCAGCCAAGACTCTGCTTATGAACCAGAGTTCTTTCACATCAGTTCAAGCAAGCACACAACTGAACTATAGTATTCCAAAAGGATTCATTTTTTTAAAAGTAGGAGCCTTCTGGCTAGAGGGTAAAAACTATAAATTGAGAGGGGTTCTAGGCTGATTGGCATTTCCCACTACATCATGTGATCAGTGTGAACCAATCTGCTCTAAAACCTAGTAGTTTTTACTAAAGTGGTTGACCCCTTTCAGGGTTTTCCAGATAGTGAATACACAGAAGTGGTTTACCATTCCCTTCTTCTGCTGGCTTTTCCTCCTTAAAATTTTCTATGGCAAGACAGAAGATGGAAGAAGTTGTGAGAAAATACGAGGAGGAATACAAATGAGATTAAGCATAGTCTGGGCTACCATCATATTATGTAAAGGAAGTAAGACAATTTCACTATGATTTGGAAGCACCTTTGTTACACTGGCTACACTTGGCAAAACACTCATCTGCCTTTTGGTGTTGTGCATTTTATTATGCATTGCTTATGGGATCAATTGTAATGAGCTTGTTAAGATGTCATTTCTCCAGGGAGTGTGATAATTGTGTTGATGCACTGTTAATTTCACTCCACCTTTGATGCAGTGTAAAATCTGTTTTGCACCTACCTTGGTCTAACCTAAATATCTACCCTGTAGAAACGTGACAGGCTCCAATCCTAAACATCTTTCCCTCCAGTCAACACCTGATTTTCTTCTTTCTTTAGCTTTTTTCCATCTTGATTTTCTAATTTGCTGATACTGTATAATTATGTGATTTACATATACTTTGATGATTTTATATGATTGTATTTTATAATGTTTTATTCTTCTTTGTAAGCCGCCCCGAGTGGACTCTGTCTAGAGGGGCGGGGTATAAATAAATAAATAAATATGTGTTAAAGCGTACCGTATTTTTCGCTCTATAAGACGCACTTTTTCTCCCCCAAAAAGTGGGGTAGAAAGCCTGTGCGTCTTATGGAGCAAAGGTGGTGATTTTGCCCCCTCTGGCCCCCCGGGGGAGGCAGGGTGAGTCTCCAAAGGGTCCTGGAACACACCCTAGGACCCTTTGGAGACTGACCCTGCCTCCCCTGGGGGCCAGAGGGGGCAAAATCGCCACCTTTGGGGGCTCTTCTGAGTCTTGGGAAGCTTCAGAAGAGCCCCAGAAGGTGGCGATTTCACCCCCTCTGGCCCCCGGGGGGGCAGGGGGAGTCTCCAAAGCGTCCTGGAACACACCCTAGGACCCTAGAACCCTAGGGTGTGTTCCATAAGATGGACCTCTCCATAAGGCTCACCAAATTTTAGGAGAAGAAAGCAGATTATTTTTTTCCTGTTTTCTTCTCCTAAAAATTTGGTGCGTCTTATGGAAAGGTGCGTCTTATGGAGCGAAAAATACGGTACTTACTAGATTCTGCATTTTTGCAGATTTGAGCTATCTTGATTTGAAGAATTTTTAAAGCCTGTGAGATTTTCCTCCTGTATGATAGTGGGACGAAGAGTTACTTCTTCCCCACAATCAACATGTCCATAATTTGAACAAAATGTTTTTGGGTAAAACAAGTGTCCCTTTCCTTTGAAAAACAAAGCACATGCAGCCACGAAAAACGGACTGGGTTATCAAAAGATACAAACAATCTGTCCAGAGACTCCAGTTCCTACGAATCCATAAAGAGCTTGTAATGCGCCTGTAAAGATAACAGCACTCGCTACTGGACTGTTTCAGGGCTCAATTCAAAGTACTTATCATTACTTATAAAGCCCTATACAGTGTGGGTCCAGGCTACCTGAAGTATTTCTCCATATGAGCCTTCTTGGTGTTTAAGATCATCAGAGGCCCTCCTCTTGATTCCATTGCCATTGCAGGCATGACTGATGGAGACACAAGAGAGGGCCTTCTCTGTGGCAGCCCCCATGTTATAGAATTCTCTCCCTCGGAAGGTCAAGCCGACTCTCTCTTTAACCTTCTGCCGAGAGCTGAAGACCCATCTCTTCAGGCAGGCTTTCAATGATCATAATTGAGTCCCTGAATGCCTTTTTAAAGTTAAGATAGTTTTCAATGTTTACTTGCTTTAAATCTTTTAATTATATTTCAGTTAGCATATAGTTTATTTTTTAATGTTTAACTTATTATGTTTATAATTATATTCTTTTAAATATTGTGCACTGCCTTGGGTTCCCTTATCAGGAGAAAGGCAGCCTATTAAAAAACATAAATAAGAAAAAAGCAGCTATCATAGTTTTGTACAATTTGTGTTATTTGCAATACTTTCATTTTTATTGTTTCTTGTAGTAAATCCAAGAAAACTGAAGATTTACCTCCCTGCCGTAGAGCAGAGGTGTTGCTGGACTACAAGTGCCCTAATCCCTGACATTTCCATCCTATTTAGAAATGGTGAGCTTTGGAATCCAATGCCATTTGAGGGGAAGGTAAAGGGAAAAGTGGATAGGAGGAGAGCTGTCTACACAGTCTTGAGCTTCTTGGGGGGGAAAGCCAGAGCATACAGGAAAAAGAATATTTATATGGAAGAGTGCACACTCTGTTCAGTTGGTAAAGAAAAAAAGAGGAATGCTGGTGAGACCATGATTTTAAATTTTCTCATGGCAGTGTTGCTACTAATGGCAACACCGTATGTTTGTATCAGGGAACACATTTCAGAGTTGATTTGTTCTGAGATCCTAAAGTGTTTCACACAGAGGTTTGGTGAGAAATATCAGCATACGTAGGCAGACATACACTAAGAATAAAGGAATAGAATAAAGAATACAGTGAGGAACAGAATTTGTGATGAGTAGGAGACCGAAGCTCAAAGGTCTTTTCACAAAAGAATCCACTCTTAAGTCCTATTCCGACGCTTATCAGAAGGCATGAAGAGCTGCATTTGTAGTGATGGGGCATAAGCCCCACCCTCCAAAGATCTCTACCACACAGACAAAGTAATTTTGTAACGTTCCTGTATGTGTGAAGCTTCTTACGTATTGTAAGACTGCAAGGAGTGAGAAAGCCATGTCATTTCCTTCACATCGATAGGATATTTAGCAATAGATTCTATTCTATTTTCTATGCATACCTAATGTAAGATACTCACCCCTGACCATCCAAAGGGCAGGAACTGTCCTTCAGCCCAGTTTTCCCCATTGACATAGAAGAGTCCTGCAATCATGATGAAGACCCACACGACCAGATTGATCACATTGAGAACATTGTTAAATCCTACAGAGTTCTTCACACCCAAAGCGACGATAATGGTCACAACCACTGCAATAACCAAAGCCAGCAGGTCTGGATAAGACTCTTCTCCTTTACCTGTGATAAGAAAAGAGAAATTACGTGGAATCTTGAACAACTAGACAGAAGCCAAATAAATGGCTTCATAGAAAAACATCAGCTTGAGAAAGTCACCTTAGACATGCGCTGAGCAATTCTCATCATCTTTTGTTCACTTACATCTAGTGGGACTTAATTTGGTTGCAACTTACTTCTGCAGCTCATTTCAATGGGTCTGCCCTAAGTGCGACCCAAGTGTGGGCTCAAACCATTGTCCTCAAATAACTGTTTTTTCACATCTTCTTTGCATTTCTTCTATGGCTTTCAAATCACAAGAAATTTGATTTAAACAACAGCAACAGCAAGGAAGAGCTGTGTAATGTTCACAGTTTCAGACTAATTTAATAACCTTTTTGCTTCTTTTTAAAGAGGCCTTTGTACATGCATGGCAACCTACATCAACTTATTACCACAGATTTAAACCTCAGATTTAAATACAAACTTTACATTTCTGGTTGGCGACATTTTCCCTGTGTATTTTTTAACATTACTTTCCTCACCAATGTGTATTTTAATTTTTAATTAATTTTTTTTTGCTTAAAATAATTAAATATAAGTATGTTTTAATTTTATAAGGGAACTCTTATGATCTGTGCCGTTTTATAAAGGTCATCCTGCCATTTTTCTTCTGCTTGTTAATGTTAGTGAAAGAAATGCACAAATAGTGCTATCATCCTAAAATGTGTGAAAGGCCATACAAAAAAATGATGATCATACCTGGACATACCAAGATAAGGGGAATAATGTCTGGATGGTAAGAAAAATCCCATTAAGGTCTATACTTTCTTGGGAACTTAAAGGGGTACAAATTCCCTATCTTTAAAAAGCCCAGTGTTGAGTAAAATCTCTACCTGAGATTCTGGAGAATCAATGTCAGTTAAGATAGACAGCATAACTGTTGGCCTCAGGGGTCCAATGAGTTGGTTCTTATGAACTGCATTTGCTGTACTCAGTCACTCCACTTCAGAAACTTATCCAGGGCATTGAATTTCTATTGTGTATATGGAGCTGCCCTTCTGTGAACAATACTGTATTTACCGTAGTCTACACGAGCATTCCATGGTATCTGTCCAATTGATTCTTTCCACTGTTCTCTCAACATACTAAGAAGGTGCCAGGTTTTAGAATGTTCCACTAGGGCTACATGGGAAATATAAATAGTGATTTGACTAAGCAACCCAAATTCCTTGAGTGTATTCATGAAGGCTTTCACGGCTGGGATGTAATGGTTGTTGTGATTTTTTTGGGCTCTTTGGCCGTGTTCTGTAGGTTGTTCTTCCTAATGTTTCGCCAGTCTCCGTGGTTGGCGTCTTCAGAAGA